AAAAAAAAAAAAAAAAGAAAAATTGAGAGAATGAAAAGGAAACTGAGTTATCAATCAAATTCACAAAATAATAATAATAATAATAATAATAATAATAATAATAATAATAATAATAATAATAAGATTTTGTTGAAGAGGAAAGAAAACATGAAAAAAGGCACTACAACAACTGAGTATGTTGGTGGAGAGAAAAAAAAATAAGAAGTGGAGAGAATGACGTAATAAGAAGTGGGGGGCAAAAATCAGATTTGAAGTAAAATCATACACTATTAATCCATAAACAAGTCATAAACCAACAAATAATATAATTATGAATCAATAACAAAAATAAACCAAAAATCAATCATTCATAAGTAACAAAATAAAAACTTCATAAATGTGCAAATAAATAAATATTTGTAAGTCAATGACGTAATTTTTTATTTTTTTAAATTGATGTGGTTCATATAATATAAAAAATGGTTCAATAAACCTTCTACAAAAATTGAAACAATTTACATAATCTCAAGTGTAAAATACAACTTCATAATAAAACTAACAACAAGGACATAAGATTAAAAAAAAAAAAAATCATACATATAAGATAATGACATGCTTTTAGCTTAAAATCATAATGTCACAAATAATATCTTTTTTTTTTTTTGGTACAAACACAAATAATATCTTTAAATGTCGAATGTGTGTGAGAGTGAGAAAGAGTGAACTGACATTAAACGATGGTGCTAAATGAATGCTAGTAGAAAAGATTTATATGGCTTAAAATGCTAAAAATACTAGTAGAACAGAAAATGTATATGAGTGCCCAAATCAATACTAGTAAAACAGAAAAGGCTTATATGGGCCGGCCTGTGTGCCACCCAGGGCCGTCTCCAGAAATTTGGAGGCCCAGGCAATTTTTTCAAGAGAGGCCCATAGTTGTATATTTATGTTTTTAATCTTTCTAATTGAACAAATAATAATAAACATCGTTAATAATAAATACGAAAAAAAACCATGAATATGAGAAAAATAAGTAAATTAGAATTCAAAACCTTACAACCTTCTCGCTTTCTTTTGTACAAAATTATCAATCAAGTCACCATAATCAAGTTTTGCAACCATTTTTTTTTCAATGGATAACATCGCCAAACCATTCAATCTTATCCTGAGACATAGTTGATCGAAGATAATTTTTGATCAACTTCAGCTTGGAAAAACTTCTTTTAGCAGATGCAACAGTAACCGGGATGGTCAACAATATTCTGTAAGCTACCCAGGCATTAGGAAAACCATAATACAAATTTTTGATATACTCCAAGACTTCAACTGGTTTAGTTAATCCTTCCGGTAATGCTTTCCTCAGTAATTGCAACTCCGAGAATAGTTCGAGTGCATCAATATCAGAGTTATCTTCATGTTTCAAAAAGTTCTCAAGTTCAACACATGAATGCTTCAAACTTTCATCATCCATGATTTTCAACTTTGTCAAGTTGAACAGAAATCCAAAAATCTCTTCGTACTTTTGAAACTGCACAAACCTTAGTTGGAGAGAAGAAAGAGAATTATCGACAATTTAAAGAAAATAATTTAATCAAAAATAATTGAAGAAACTGCACATACCTTAGTTGGAGAGAAGAAAGAGCATTATCGACAATTTGAAGAAAATAATTTACTCGAAAATATTCTTCAGCCCCTTGAATTGGTTCATCGCGAGCATTTTCATCAAAAAATTTACTTTTGCGGCGAATTCGAATTTCACGAAAGGCGGGTTCTATATCCATCTCCAATGCAATCTTTTGAGCTTCAACTTTTGCACTTTCAAAACCGCAATTTCTGTATTCCTCCAAAAAAACAATCAAGCCTTGTAAAAGACTTATACTCTCACTGATGACCATATCATTTTTTTGAAAAGCTTTGCTAACCGAATTCACTTTTTGCAAGATTTCAAACCAGATTACTACTCCCACAAGAAAATCAAAACTTTGAAGTTCATACTCCGCCAAAGATCTAGCATCACTAGCAGTTGTTGCATCACCACTATGTTCCACTAGATGCAATAATGCGTCTCTAATTTGAGGTGCTTGGAATCTTATAGCCTTGACGCTATCAACACGACTCTCCCGGCGTGTATCCGACCATGACTTCAAAGTAAGCCCTCTTCCTTTACGACCCTTTACAAAGGATTTTAAAACATCCCACCTCTTTGTTGAAGTAGAGAACAACTTATAAATTCGTTGTATCACTCCAAAAAATGACTTTGCCTGAACTGAGCTCATCGCCATATCACAAAGAGTCAGATTAAGAGAATGACCACCACATGGAGTGTAAAATGCTCGAGGATACTCATTTAGCACTCTACTACTTACTCCTTTGTATTGCCCTTTCATGTTTGAACCATTATCATAGCCTTGCCCTCTCAAGTCACTTAAATCTAATTTCAATATACTCAAAATAGATTTAAGCTCATTAAAGAGGGCATCTCATGTTGTTTCAACAACATTTATAAATTGAATAAAAAACTCCTCAACTCCAATTGGAGTCTTTGAGACATCAACACATCTTAATATGAGAGACATTTGCTCTTCATGGCTTACATCCGGAGTAAATTCAAGAATCACAGAAAAGTATTTTGCCCCTTTAACAATCTCGAGAATCTTTTTCTTTATCTCACCCGCCAACAAAAGTATCAATTCATTTTGAATATTATGACCAAGATAATGGACACGTTTCGTCTCTTTTTTCCTAATACGCCTTAGGTGCTCTTCCATGATCGGATCAAAATCAGCAATCATTTTAATGATGCTTAGAAAATTCCACTATTATGATCATCAAGTTTTTCATTTTGCCCCCGAAACGCCAAATTACAACTGGCAAGAGTTTTGACAACACAAAAGATTCTCTTCAATACATCTCTCCAAAATCCCTTCTCTCTCTCAACGACTTTCTGATTTTCAGAGTCAATTGTATGTTTTCTTTTCAATCTTTTCTCAGTCTCTGTCCAATCTGCTAAACAATTCATATGATGAACGCTTCTTTCATGCTCGCTAAGTCTCTGATAAATATTTTTCCAATCATCATAACCAATTGTTCCTGTTGTTAAGGGACTTGATATAATTTTATCCCTCTTGAACAGAACACAACAAAAACAAAATACTTTATCCTTCTTCTCGGAGTATACTAACCATGATCTATCAAGTTTTTCTCCATTCGATAAAGATCGAGTGTAGAGTTTATCATTGAAACTTCTACCTTTGTCATTAATTGGATACACGACATTAGTAACTCTAACTGGCCCTTTCTCGACTAAAAAATCATTCTTTCTTTGAGGCAAATTATCCTCCCAATTTCCTGGATCGAACAAATCGTCCAAATTTTCACAATTCATATCATTGTTATCATTCATATCATCATTATCATTCACATTCCCTCCATCCTCCTTATGATTATCATCTGAATTAATTCGATTACGATCTGTTAAATCTTGACCAATTTCAACTACGGGTGTATCAGGCAATTCCGACACAATCTCAGTAGGATCAGACACTTCAACTTCTACTACTGGAGTTGTAGGTTTTACGTACCTATCCATAGAACCGGCGAGAGATTTTGTTAATATCTCTTGTCTTTCTTTCTTTTTCCTTTTCGAACTTCCCGATTCGAATTTGCGTTTGCCCGTCATAACTCGTCCAGCAAACCTGATCATAGAATGATAGAATAATATATGAATAAATTTATTTCCAATGCCAATTAAGAAAAATTACAATCAAATACTAATAAAAAAAAGCACATATTGGACAAGTAATAAATTTATTTACAAAACTAACAAATTTGTTATCCTCTGATTTAATAAAAAGATAGAAACTACATATACCGATCTAAGAAAATGCAGACAAATACATAGACATACACACACACACACATACATATATATATATATATAAATAAAGAATGTAACTCAATTGCACAATTCATAAAAAAATAGTAACCAGAAGCTTAGCTTCCGAGTATAAAGATTCTACCCAGCAAGAACATATTTCGCTCATAGCTGAAGCTATTACAATTTGATAATTATTGCCTATCATGCTTCTACTAAAGATCATGTATTTGTATTAAACATATAATTAAAAGAATAAAAGATAATAATAAAAGAAGCAACAAACTAAACATCTTCTAAAGAATCAATCCAACTGAAACATCTCCATCTCTAGATTTTTGGCACACCTATAATTGCTTAATTATTTTTTATTCTTGAGTATACTATCTACAATTTATGCCTTGTATTGCACAATATTATGCAGATATTTACAGTAAAGTGGAACAAATATCAAAAGTGACTGGCACAACACAAGTTATAATACTTGAACATATCAATTCGAAATTTAGAATCAACATTTTTTTTATTAATCGATCAATTAGACTTTAGAATATAACTAGATGGAACATATCAATTGGAATCAACCAGATGGAAGTGGAACACATCAAATAGATAAATTAGAATTCATGTTATCAAAATTAATATACTCTAATTGTTCTTCAACGAGAGAATCAAGAAATATGCTTGAGTGCTTCAAAACCCATATCAAATTACCAATGCACAATTCACAATAACCAAATTCGACATTCAACAGAAAACATAAGAAAAGTTCCTATCGAATTGATTGAGAAGCTCAGTTAGCGCCTTAGCGGCAGCGGTGACGGTGATGCGTGAGGCGGTTGTGGTGAGGGCGGAGGCCAGCGTTGGTCGTCAAGGTCGAGCAACTAAATTCCACGGCAGATCTGGAGGAATTGGGATTTATTTGGCAAAGTGAAAGACTGAAACGACGGCGGAGAAATACAACCTCTGGATTTAAGAAAATAAATTGGGCCAAGCCCAATACAATTGTATAATATATAAAATACAATATATAAATACATACATATATATGTGAGGCCCCCAAAAAGTTGAGGCCCTAGGCTAGAGCCTTGCTCAACTAGCCCACAAGCCGGCTCTGATTTTGAATGTTAGAATGAAGTTGTCATTTCTTAAAGAAATATTTATAATCTCATTGGTGTATTGCGCTTGAACATATGTGCAATTACTTTAGAGGTACTTTCAGGTAATGTATGGTGATTTCAAAAAATAATTTAGCACCTCGAGAGAAGTACATGTAACCCAGATTTTAGAAAGTCAACTTTTATTTGGAGATAAAATTCATTCTCACCTCGTGGGGCGATGCATCAATAGGGTAGACACCAATATATCTAGAGACAGAGGAATGTAAAATTAATTAAGAGGAATTAATAGTTTATACAGTGATAAAAAATATCAACAATTTTAGTGACATCGTTAGTTATTTCATAGAAATATTTATCCTTTGTCAGTAGAAGTACCTTGTTATAAAGATCATGCGATCATGAAATACTATATGTTGGGTCAGAATGTTTCTTAAGTGTTTGATTAAAATTGGCGTTTTGCCAAATTAATTAAGAGAAATTTTACAATATTATTGATGTATTGGACTCCAACGACTATGAATGTTCTTATGAGAACGTCAAGACAAAAATAAAAGAAAATCTTTGTGTTTTTTTATTAGGGATTTGTTTTTTATATATATTTTTGTTGGGGGTTGTAAAACGTTATTTCACTCTTTTTATATGAGGACATCATTACGTTAATTCTAAATAAAAAAAATCACATATGAGTTCATTTTTTTTATATTTTACTTCATTTCTGCAATGATATGTTTAATAAATTAATTAATTTATTTTGCAAACTTACTCCGTGAATATCATTCGACACCGCGTGCATCGCACGTACACTTTACTAGTGATCTTAAAATGTGGAAAACATTGTAGTCCAAGAATTCGGTGTTGGCCTCTGCAGATGATGTACAATGACATGGTAGATATTTAGGGAAAATTCGATCCTACCCATGTGGGCACTGCCCACATGGGGTTTTTTACCATTGATTTCACACACACCCATGTGGGTGTGTGTGTGTGTTTATGTGTATATCAATGGTAAAAAACTCCATGTGGGCAGTGCCCACATGGGTAGGATCGAATTTTCCGATATTTAGATATGTCCAGGATCATTAGTTCTTGTCAGAATTCGGTGTGGAATGATTGCACCAATAGTAGTATAGAACCAATTTTATTTTTTATTTTTTTAAAAAAATAACAACAAAAACACACTGACTCCCAACGTGAGTTCACTGCCATTGTTGGGAAAAATCGTTGAATTATATTCCCTCCTATTCATAATAAGTGTTGTTTTGAAAAGTTGTACAGTTATTAAGAACACTTTTTTGGTCAATAATAACCCTCATTAATGAGGATAGTGATGAATGTTTTGAGAAAGATGAAGAGTGAATATAAAACGTAGTGTATTTATTAGCTTGATGAGAGTAATATTATTAAAATATATACAAAATATGCTAAGCAACATTTATTTTGTTAAAAGTTGATAAGGCCAAATGACATTTAAAAAGAATAGGAGGTAGTATGTACTTTTTTTTTTTTATCTTACATCAATTTGCATTATAAAAATAGCTAGTTATTTCTCCATTTTATTATAGCCATTTTTTTTTTTTTAAGAAGACATATCTAATCGCCCTAACATCATAAGTTTAAAACTTAGACTAGTGATTGATTCGGGGTGGATTCATGGTCATCTGGTCAACGGTCTACTAGCCAGAATCACTGAATCAATTGTTGAATCGGGCAATTAGTTTTATAATTTTTTAAATTCTTATTTTTATCTTATAACTATACAAAAAGTAATAAAAATAAATTATGTATATGTACATTAAGTGCAGGGGACTTATGAATCGTAAATTGCACTCGAAGGTTGACAATCCAACGATATTTTTGACGAACATTGATCATTCGATGGGGTTGTGCAACAGTACACATTTGGTTATTACTAAGCTAAACAATTATGTCATCGAATGGATAATTTTAACTGGTTTCAAAGCTGGGAATAAAGTTCTTATTTATAGGCTCACAATCATACCTTCTGATTTAAGGGTACTGTTCATGTTCGGCGCACAATTTCATGTCATTGTTTCATATGCTATCACAATCATGTCGAGACCTGTCTCTATCGCACGTAAAATTAGTACTAAAAACTGTGCTTGTAAGTGACTCTTTCTAAAGTCACAAATTGAAATGTTTGAAGATAATGACATGTGGTAATATAAATTTAAATGATAAGAAAACCAAGAATGTTGTATCTAAATAAGCCTTTAATAATACTTAAAACTATTTTATTAATTATTAATTTTTTTACAGAATAAATTTTGATTTGTATATTTTTTTTTTATATTTTTGTCTTGCTCATTCTTCTATTCCACGCAAATGAACGAGTTGATTACTAGTAAACCCAATTTGCCTAACCCCTCACGTGTTACACGTTTTATAACTTTTATTAAACAAACAAAACCAACACCTCATCCAACTACCCTAAACTCTCTCTCGCCCAATTTCCTGATCCCCGCAACTCAGGTCGTCCAATCAAAGCCCCAGCGAAAATACACCCGCACATTGGTCCTCGTCCGACCGCCGGCGAGTCAATGCCTTCCATCAGCCCCGCCGTCGACCCGACGCCATTAATAGGGGACCATGTTCCTCGCCCGCGCCTCGTCCGGCACCCTCCCAGCCTCCGCGTTGCCGCCCGGTATCCGCCGAGCTAGTAGTTGGAGCCGCTCTATGCGCGAGCCGTCCTTACGGGTCCGAGAGGCCGCCGCGGAACAGATTGAGGAGCGGGAGAGCGACTAGGCCTACTCCAAGCCTCTCAAGAGTTTGGCACAATTGTAGTGTTAATTTGTTCAGAGTTGAAGAGAAACCTCGGTGGTGTACATACGATTGTGAACGATGATTGTGAGGGTCGGCTTACAATCGTTAATCCGTGTAGCATTGTTTTAGGCTCCTGTGAATTTTGGTTGGCAGTATTAAGTTTTTTCCTCATATTTTTCATGTTCATTGGTTAATATGTCAATGCGGCTGAGTTTGTCTTTCTTTCTTTTAATCAAAGTTTCAAAATTGGACCAATTATTGAGCAGGTTGAGCTGCTAGTTCAATAGTTTATTGGTCGGACTAATGTTTGAACAGGCCGAATAGGTGTTTAATTTATTAATATTTTTAAATATATATATAATATCTTATGTAATAAATTCACACATATAAAATTTATTAATCAAATATTAGATAGTTTAAAAAGTTCAAATGTTTAACTGAACTGATAAATAGTTCATACATATTTATTATATTTGACATTTTTATGCATACTAGATATACTTACAAGTATATCAAAATTTATATTTTAAAAAGTAAATTGGACTAGTCCAACCGTGTGATTGACCGGTTTTGATCCGTTCAACAGGCCGTCAATCAGTTCACTGACAATCGGTTCTTTCCAACAAAGTGGACCGGTCAATAGATTAGTTCCCGGTCCAACCAATCAGACCTAGTCCTCCGTTTTCAATTAAGTTATTGTACAATGTAAATTTTTAACTATTTTTTTTTCTTATTAGCTATTATAAAAAAATTAACTTATAATGTATCAAGTTATCTATTAGCCAAATTATCAGTTGGATCACCCAACAATGCCTAAATATGAGTCAAGTC